ATCAGTCTACCTCTGCCTCCTGAATGCTGGGATTAAAAGGTGTTCACCACCACGCCTGGCTCCCACTCTGGTGTCAACATCCACCGGTGACAAGTGTTTAACTTTCTGGAGATTTTGTGTGCACAGGGTTCAGCATCTTAGCCGCTGATGTGGACTGAAGTGGGCCCTCTGTGATGGAGACAAGTGTGTTGCAGTCTGAGTTCCCGCCAGCATCCTCTAGAATCAAACGCACCAGGATTCTTTGGCTATTTTGTTTTGAGACAGGGTCTTATGTAGCCCAGGGTAGTTTGAGACTCACTACATATTAAGGATGACTTTGAGCTTCTATTTCTCCTGCCTATGTAACACTGCACCCAGAAATGCTGGGTGTTATTATTTATTTATTTGGAGACCAGGTCTTAACTAAGTAGCCCTAGCTAGCCTATAACTTATTATGTAGGCCAGGCTGGCTTTGCACTCACAGAAATCTGCCTGCCTCTGTCTCCCAGATTCTGGGAATGCTGGGATTATCATACCACAGAATAGACTTTCAGGACTAGTCAATACAACACAAAATTAGAATTTATTAAACAAGAATTTGGGGCCCAGGGCAATGACTCAGTCAGTAAGCATTTTCAATGCAAGAGAATCTCCAGCGCTTGCATAAAGAACAGGCAAAGTGGTACAGATTTGTAATGCCAGCTCTGGGTAAGGAGAGACACAAGGATCCCTGGGGATCCTAGCCAGCTTAACCCATGAGTGCAAGGTTCAATGAGGGACCCAGTTTCAAAATAATAAAGTGGAGGGGTTGGAGTGGTGACTTAGTGGGTAAGAACACTTGCTGCGCGTAAGCGTGAGGACCTGAGTTTGATCCCTCAGCAGCCTGTAAAAAACATCAGAGATGAAGCTGGGGCATTGGTGGTGCATGCCTTTAATCCCAGCACTCAGGAGGCAGAGGCAGGCGGATCTCTGTGAGTTTGAGGCCAGCCTGGTCTACAGAGCCAGTTCCAGGACAGCCTCCAAAATAATACAGAGAAACCCTGTCTCAACAAACAAACAAACAAAAAAGCCAGAGATGGCTGTGCACACCTGTAATCTCAGTGCTCCTTGGAGACAAGGAGACCAGTGGAGCTTGCTGGCTAGCCAGGCAGCCTCACCAAAAAAGCCAGCAAGCTTGTTCTGAGAGAGAACAAGGCAGAGAGGGATAGGGTTGGAGGATGCCCAGTGTTGACCTTTAACCGCCACAAGGACACTTGTATGTGTATACGCGTGCGCACGCGTATACACATACAAGTGTCCTTGTGGCGGTTCGCGCGCACACACACACACACACACATACACACACACACACACGAGAGAGAGGGAGAGAGAGACAGACAGACAGACAGACAAAGTGGAAGAAGGAGACAGGGGATTTTTCTCCTAGTTTTTTTATTTTATTTTATTTTATTTTGTTGTGGGGGCATATGTGCCACGGCATGTGTGTGGAAGTCAGAGGACAACTTGAAGGAGTCTCTTCCTCTCCATACCATGAAGGCTCTGGAGATAGAACTCAGGCTGTCAGGCTTGGAGGTAAGTAGTACATACATTTACCCACCTGAGGCATCTTGAGAGGGTCCTGAGGGCAACGTGTGTCCTGGGGCAGCATTAACTTCTCAGCAGAAGCTAAGGATAAGCACATGTATGGTTTCTGCAGTCATGATGGTCAAAGGTTTTAGAGATGGAAATGCCACTGTTTCAGTTTGCTTATGTTGATCTATGGAATTTATTGAATGAGATCATAAGGTGGTTTCCTCCGTGCACAGGGCAGTTACAGGTGGCTAAGATAAGAACAGATCAAAACGGAGCCGGGCCGTGGTGGGGATTGTTCTTAATTCCAGCACTCAGGCGGCAACAGCCTGGTCTACAGAGCGAGTTCCAGGACAGCCAGGACTACACAGAGAAACCCCCGTCTCGAAAAGCCAAGTCATATAATAATAAAAATAATAATACCAGATCAAAAAAGTCAGATAAACCCTTGGTTTATTAGGTTACGAGAAAGTCAATGTATGTTTTGACTGTGAACGAGGCTGATTATCTTGTTTTTGTGATTCTTAGGAAATTACAGGCCTATAGATCAGAAAGGAATAAGGCTAAATCCAAAGGTATATTTGTTAGGATATAAACACTGGTCATTAATATTTTAACATCCTTATTTGAACTATGTCTATAAAAAAGAATTCTAGCTGGGAATGGTAGCTTATTCCTGTAACTAGCATTTTGGCAGCCGGAGCAGGAAGAGTACTACCAATTTTAGGTCAGCCTGGATTACAGAGTGGAACCCTGTCTCTAATGGCAATTGACTCTGTAGGCGTTCCTCACAGGTAATTTTTTTTTATGATGAAATCTTAACTCTCAGTTGGTGAGAGGGTTCAATTAGACTCTGGATAAGGTGCTCATTTTTCTTCCCGTATCCCTGAACTTTCCCTGTCTCTCCATCCAGCTCACTTTGCTGCTGTTGGTTTGTAAATGTAGGTTGCCAAACGATTACAAAGGATTAAATAAGTCACAGCATCCAAAGAGGACTTGCTGGAGGAAGAAGCCAACACAGACGCATAACACTGCAAGTAGTTAGTTATTAATTGCCCTTACACACACACTGACCACACTGACAGTCAGGCAGTGGTGGCGCACGCCTTTAATCCCAGCACTCGGGAGGTAAAGGCCAGCCTGGTCTACAAAGCTACACAGAGAAACCTTGTCTTGAAAAACAACAACAACAACAACAAACGAAACAAAATGAAACAAAACAAAACACCCCCCTAAAACAAAACAAAACAAAACAAAAAAGAAGATAAGGAAGCCACTAGGCAGTCCAAAACCTAGCCAAAGAGTAGGATCAAGCCAGAGAGGCTCAGGGTGGTATCTCCAGTGTGCTGCAGGGAGAGATAGGGACAGTCAGTGCCTGTACCAGCTGAATTATCTCATCAGCCTTAAAAGGCATTTTAAATACAGATTTGAAACGTGAAGGTTCAGAGAAGGAAAGAGGCACTTGGGGAGACGCTAAGACATATTCTAGAGGGTGGGCACCAGCCACAAATAGCCAGGAACAGAATCTGGGTGGATTGCGAAGTGATTCTCTTCAGAGGGTTACTAACAAGATAACAGTGTGGCTCTTGAGAGACATGTGATAGGATTACTATCAGCAGAGCTAAAGTCCAGATCATAGGAATGAAGGGAGATTACGTCCAGCATGGTCTGTACACAAAGTTAATGATCATACAGAAAAGGAATGGCTTCTGGCCTGAGCTCATGTACGTTCAGACCTTCAGTCTGGTTCTGTACTATTTTATTTATTGTTGTTTTTTTCCCTGCTAATTGAACATAAAATATCTACAAACAAAAAGAATATCAACCATATGTTGTTAATTGTGCTGAAGCTTCCTGTGTTTGATTACTAGGGTTTTAAAGGTAAATTGGGGTTTTAGAGGTAAATGGCTCATGCTTTGTTTTAAACACAAAATGAAAACAATTACATTAGCAATCTTATATAAATCACTGTGTAACTTTTTGCTTGTTTGTTTTATTGTGTTGAGACATTCTCTCTATGTAGACTAGGCTGGCCTTGAAGTTAGAGAGATCTGGCTGACTCTGTCTCCCAAAGGCTTGCACCATTGTGCCAGCCTTACTGTCTAGTTTTGTTGGCCATTGCTGAGATAAAATACAAAATCAACTTACAGGAGAAAAGGTTTATTTGAATCACAGTGCCAGGTCACAATCTCTCATACTTTGGGAAATTCAAGGCAGCAGAAACTTGAAGCAATTAGTCACACATCATATTGATATCCAGGAGCCAAGAGCAATGAATTAATGTATGTGTGCTAGTGCTGAGCTCAGTTTCTCTATTCTTATCTAGTCCTGGGGCTCATGCCTAGGGAATGGTAGCTGCCCATAGTGAGTATGTCCTCTTAGGTCAACTAACACAATTAAGATAATTATTAATCCTCACTGATCCTTCTTCCAGGTGATTCTAGATCTTTTCAAATTGACAATGAAAACTAACCGTAACAGTTACCTTAAGTTTACAAAAAAAAAACTAATCAGCTTGACTTCTATCTAGGGGGACACCAAAACAGTATAGATTTAATATTTTTCTTAGTTACACAAACTAAAACAGGTTCCTCTATACTCTTTTTCTAAGTTCCTTATTTCCCTTTCCTGCTTGTTACCACAAGAGTCAACCTTCCCCCGATGTAGCAAAAACCCAAATAGTTCGACAGAACCCACCATGTTTGCTCAAAAGTGCTTCCCAAGATGGCCTGTCACGCAAGTGGCAGTCACCCCAGCGGGTTAGCAGAACCCTAATGGGCCAGAAGAACTCCAAAAGATAGGGATCCTACACTTCCTGCCAGGCAAATTGCAGAAATTACAATTAATTCAGAAGGAGCCCAAACAGCTCCAGAGAGTCTCCCAACCAACTAGGAAAAGGAATAAAGTTGTGTGCCACAACACACTATGCGTTTCTCACAAAATTAAAGTGTTAAGTTGAAGGTGTAGGTCAGTGGCAGTGCACTTGTCTGGTTAGCAGGAACACACGCCCACAGTTTGCCCTGAAGCTGATTTTCAAAGAAAAAGACAGAGCAAGTCTCTGCCGTGCAGATCCTTCAAAGAGCATGTTAGGACACAGAGGATTTGCCAAAGCATAGGACACTTCCACCCACTGTCAAATCGGAAATACCAAGAATTTTCTTCTTTCAAAACCTGGGGGATCAGCAGGTAAAGGTGCTTGCCACCAAGCCTGACAACCTGAGTCTGATCAGGGAACCCACTCCTGCAGTTGTGTACACACACACACACACACACACACACACACACACACACACACACGTTTTAAATAATGTAAACAAACAAGCCTAAGACAATTTTGGGAGGACACAGGGCCTCACTATGTAGTAATGCCAGAGGTTTCTGCAAGAGTTACAAATTGTCTTTATCATGGGGATGCAAAGGTAAATGAGATTTGGAGGGAAACACAGACTCACAGAATACCGGACAAGGTGGAAGCCGTTGTGTCCCGCCGCTGTGCCCTGTCGCTTTGCCCCCGGGAGGTGTGAAAACCGCACGAGCTTGCTTCTGCTCTGCTCTCCCAAGAGAATGAGCAGGCTTCTCTCCACCCATCAGTCCACATGTAGCATCTCAGACCACGCCCTAAGAACCAGTACCCCAAAAGCTACTGGCTGAATGAATTCCTACAATAATTCTCCTTTTTGTCTAAATAAGAGGGCTCTAAACCTAATACAAAACTATATACAATAAGGTAATTAGCAAATAATAGAGATTATTTTAATAGTTGTCCTATCCTGATGAGTCTAAGTCTTAGCTAAGTTATGAGAGGGAAGTAGCTGTGACTATCTAATCTTCAACCCCATAAAAGTCCTGAGAAGGAAAATATTACCTGAGTAAGCAGGAAGCACATACAAGCGACTTTCAAAAAGTTCAAGAGCCGGGCAGTGGTGACGCTTGCCTTTAATCCCAGCACTTGGGAGGCAGAAGCAGGCAGATCTCTATGAGTTCGAGACCAGCATGGTCTATAAGAGCTAGTTCCAGGACAGCCTCCAAAGCCACAGAGAAACCCTGTCTCGAAACAAAACAAAAACAAAAAGTGTAAGAAATGACAGAAACAGCTGGCTGCCTGGACAGTCATCCAAAGTCTCTCTGAAACATTGGAGCAACCAACTTTAGCTATATATAGGCCTAGAATATCTAGCAGACCATATCAGAACCAGGAAAGTTTGGAAGACTACCTTGTCTTGGAAAGGTTCAGCAGTCACTTTTCCTTGTAACCTGTTTGTCCAGTTTGGACAGCATGCTTATTGTCAGCAGCTGAGGTAAGGGCAATTCTTTGTCCAACAGATCAGTTTTGCTAACAAGCTCCATTTGGAGTGTCTCTGGTGCCCATCATTCTCTTGGGAATACCTCAGTACTGCCAGGAGCAGTCGTGTCTTATGTCAGCAGAGTTCTAAATTATTAAAACATTTAAATGCCATGTTCTGTAGGTCTTTGAAGTGTTTAAAGATCATCTATCTATGAGGAGTACATCTCTGCACATCTAGAGAACCTAACTAACCTAATTGTGTATGACAAACATGGGCGATTATTACCTGAAATTCTCGATAACCTTTACAGCTTATAGACTGAAGCTCCACATATAAAAGTAAACAATCTTTAAACAGATGTGCAGCCTGAGGACAATGACCTAGAAACTGTAACAATATGCATATAAAAATATCTTGATCAGAGGTAGGAATGTATAGTGCAATATGACAAAAATATCCTTAAATTGTATCAATATACAAACTATCTTAAGAAGAGGTAGAAACATATATACACACAGTGTGACAAAATAAATTTACACTTGTGTGCAAAAACATTGTAAACAAATAGGAACATAACAGACATAATTTTGAATTTGTATCAATATATAAGTTATCTTAGACAGGAATGCAAAAATAATTTTATGTAAGTATCAATATACAAGAATCTATATAAATGTAAATTGTCTAAAATTAATAGCTGCTAAAACAGTTTACAAGAAGATACACTAATCTACCTTAATATTGGATCTTATCCATCCCCCACTTTTTCCAAAAGAGATTCCTGAGTCTAATCTTCATTGTCCCACCCCTAGCCCTATTACAATTTATAACTATGCCTTCACAGAAGACAGCTATCCATAATCCTGAGAAAACAAAATCTGTCCGGAGAGGGGGTGTCGTTTTTCTTAGAATTGCTTCCTGCTGTCTAGGGGTGATAGTATCTCTATGAGATCCTGTAAAAAAAAACTAAAACAATGGTTAAGTCTCAAGAGTGCTGTCTGTAACAATTGTAAACCGTCCCTGAATCATGGCTAGGGTTCATTGGAAGTTCGTAAATGAAGTTCTGGCTAGAGAGTTGTAAGAAGGTAGACCAACTCAGCTAGCAAATGGGATTGTCTAGAGTAGTTCTTTGTACATGGCATCATTATGAACCAGGTAGAATCGTTGTGGGTCCCCATCTTCTTTCTGGAGACTTCGGAGATTGATGTTAAGAAAATTTATTGTTCGCTGTGGAAAACGTAAACATTATTAATATCAAAATGGAAAGTTTAAATTTTTATAGATGGCCGGGCAGCGGTGGCGCACACCTTTAATCCCAGCACTCGGGAGGCAGAAGCAGGCAGATGGCTGTGAGTTCGAGGCTGGGCTGGACTGACAGCCTCCAAAACAATACAGAGAAACCCTGTCTCGTAAAACCAAAAAATAAAATAAAATTTTATAGATGTGCATCCAAAGAAAGGTACCGATAAAGACGAAAATAAGTACGGGGAGAAGTAGAATTTTGGTGAGTTATGACAACCATGGTCCCTAGAATTTTGTATCCTTCTGTGCCAATGCCAGGTGGCTCTTCTGATATGAGACAGAAACTCTGAGTTTTTCTTTTAACAACATGCTTGGATTTTGAGAAGGGGAGAGCCATGCTCCAACTTCAAAGCCAGTTTTGATTACACTGAGGAGTAAGGAGATATGGATGTGTAGGTAGGGGAAAATCCCCAGACCTTGGGCAGAGAGTGCCACGGGTATACGTGTGTAGACTTCCCTTGCTAGTCTATACGTGTGTAGACTTCCCACCACAGTCACTGTTAGTCTGCCAAGAAGCAACTCCTCTGGGGCAATCCCCGCGGTGTGTGGCACGGTGTTCGTGTCATCTGTCAACTATCCTAGTAACACAGACAGTGTGATTCACTCGCACCCACCACAAAGGACTCATGCTCAGCCTGACTAACTCAGTTGGTAGAGCATGAGACTCTTAGAGTCCTGGGCTCAAGTCCCACGTTGGGCACCTGATAAGGCAAAAGGGTTTCCGAGAGTTACATATTGTCATGGGGATACAAAGGGAAATGGGACTCCAAGGGAAACACGGACTTACAGAATACGGGACAAGGGGAAGCCGCCGTGTCCGTACAGTCTGCCTCAGGGAGTGTGATCAACCACACAAGCTTACTCCTGCTCTGACCTCCCAAGAAAATGAGCAGGCTTCTCTCCACTTATCAGGCCACATGTAGCACCTCAGACCATGTCCTAAGGGTCAGTACCCCAAAGGCTATTGGATGAATGAATTCCCACAACAATGTAGTCCTTGCTGACCTGGAACTTCCTACATAGACCAGGCTAGCTTCAAACTCACAAGAGATCTGCCTGTTCTTCCTTCCCGAAAGCTGGGATTAAAGATATGCACCACCGTGGCCTACCTAATTTCTTTTTAAATCGGGAATGTCTAGGTAGTTCAACACATGCTTGTGATTCTAGCACTAAGGAGGCAGAGGGAGGAGTATCAGGAGTTCAAGGCCAGCCTGAGCCACGGCATACTCTGTCTCCAAAACAGGACAAAGAAGACAAAGCATCAAGAATGCATTTTCTGTGAGATGTCGCTACCCCACTTCCCCAGGCCTGTATCCTGTAACACAATAAATAAAAGACCCAAAGACAGACATTGGGGTTCAAGCTTCACACTGAAGATCAGAAAAGCAGCTGGTCACTAGCTCTCACTCTACCTCAGAATGAAAGGCAATCCTGGATCCACCAAAGCTCAGACTGTAACCTCTCTTTAGCGTGGCTGGAGAATTCTGAGAGTTCAATGTCTTCCTATCTTCATTGTGGCTGGATAATGAATCCCTACCTGATACTGACTACTGAAGACCCTGCTCCTATCTTTTATACCCATAAAGCACTAGGATTAAACGTGTGTGACCCCAGGTGTTGAGATCATCTTAGTGTGAGTTGTTTCTCTTTAGGACTAGATATGTTTCATGTAGCTCAGTGTGGCCTTGAATTTACAGAGATCCATCTCCATCTACCTCTATCCTGAGTCCTAGGATTAAAGGAGTGTACAACCACCTTCTGGCTTCTGGAATTAAAGGTGTGTATCACTACTGCCTGACCTCTACAGCTTGTGACTGACTTTGCTTTCTGAATCCTCAGGCAAGCTTTAATAAATCATAAATAATGCATCACCACAGTATCCTCTGCCAACCTAAGTTCCTTTCAGTAGGATCTCCAGTTGAGAGTAACATCCGTGTGATTCCAACCCATGCTTATGTCACAGCTAGTACTTTTTTATTTGCACAAGTCTGGGGCTCATGTCACTGCTGATAATGGACAGGTGCTGATAACTCTCTTGGCATTTGCAGTCTCAATAGAGCTTGTAAAAAGGAGCCACCAGGTGCATGCAGACACAGCCTGAAGCCATTGCTCCACATAAGATGGAGTAACTTGCAGCAATGCACAGCTGATCTCCTCAATCAGCCAGCATCTTGATCATTTGGCTGTAGCTTCAATTTAGAATTCACTGTGCTGGGCTAAGGGGTGTGTGTGGCAGAAGTCGCTACGCCAAGGACAGCTGATAAAGGGGCAGTCACTGAGGCAACATCTCTTTGGAAAGAAGGCTGGGAGAACAAAAGGAGGAAAAAGAAGCCACGGAGTTTGCTAGCATCTGGACCACAGAACAAAATAAAAATAAAGAAGGGTGTGGTGGCCAGCAGCATATTAGTACATAGTGATCCTGTTTGTCTTCTGTCATTAATCATGTTCTTTTTTTAAAGGCTGTGTGGAGAGAGAGAGAGAGAGAGTGTGTGTGTGTGTGTGTGTGTGTGTGTACCCAGTGTCACACCAAGGGTTTTGTGCATTTTAAGAAAGGGCTCTACCACTCACTGAGCTATAATGCAGTCCCTTTTTTGTTTGTCTATTTGTTTGTTTTTTGAGACAGGGTTTCTCTGTATGGCTTTGGAGCCTGTCCTGGAACTCGCTCTGTAGACCAGGCTGGCCTGGAACTCACAGAAATCCACCTGCCTCTGCCTCCCAAGTACTGGGATTAAAGGCGTGCTCCACCACCACCCCTCCCCAGTCCTTTTTTTTTAAGCTACCATTTTTCAGACATGATGTCATAAAGCCTAGGTTGCCTTGAACCCAGTAGGTTGGAGAGAATGAGTTTGAAATGATCCTCCTGCCTCCATCTGGCAAGTGCTGAAAATACAGGTATTAACTCAGCACCGGGTGGATTTTTCCAAAGATGATAAGATGATAGCAAGTAGGATAAATATATCCCATATATTGCTGACAAGGGAGAAAAGATAACAGATAGGTAT